GAAATGTTACGCCCCTCACATACTGTGATGCCGTGTCCCGGCCAGAGCGATGAGACAAAACCAATAAAACCCATTATAAATTAGGCATATTTGCATCCAATGGGGACATAATTACAGTTTATAATGACTTATACTGTCTTTTTACGTGTTTTGTTGCATCGCGCCACGTAAACATAAAGTGTAGCTGTCCGAAGTTTACAGGTCACTATATCTGTGCTTGTGAAAGTGTGTCAGACTGTGTGTTTTAGCACTCAACATATTTTTTTGCAGTGAAGCTTTTTCTAAATCACTGGCATCATTTATTCCCCTTGTGTTGTAGAAACTGTCCTCGATGTCTCCTCTGGACGAGACGCTGCCCAGAGACTGGAAGTGCTACATGTCACCTCAGGGACGCAGATACTACGTCAACACCATCAGCAACGGTAAGAACCTCCAACCGCCACTAAATTAGAGGTGCACAAAGTTTTGGCCAAAAATCAAACCCCATTGAGGACTGTAGGCCATAAGTTCCATTACGTATATACTACATTATATTAAAATGTATTAACATATATTTTATATAATATTTTTTAATTTTTTATAATAATATAATAAATTATAATATTTCTCAAAATAATTGTATTTATTTATTTATTACATAATAACATGCAAAGAGAAAAAAGCTGAAAAATAAATTTAAATTATTATTTTCTTTTTCCTATTCTTTTCCTCTCGTCTTGTGATAAGGCATGGCCAATGGCCAAATCAAAGGTGATCACGGGCATCTGCACTAGACCTACAGTCGTGCAGTGTTTTCTCTTTGGTTGCAGATGATGTTGTTGTCATGAGCAAGACTCTGAGACACACTGAACAGCAGCCAGTCGAGCACGTCTGGTACAGGCTGGTCTGACCGGATCAGAGGATCGGTACTGATATCTCCACTTCTCATTGTGTCCAAACAATCAGCATTGTCCCGATCAGAGCCATCAGTTGGCACACAATGCCATGTTTACAGCCACAGCGCATTCTTTATGCCACTGTTAAAAGTGAAGAAACGCTTTCAAAAATCGCTCTTCTCACCTCCGTTACCTGCTATAACATCTCTGGGCACTTTTCTCACATTTGAAATGCGTCTATGAAGTTTGCATGCCCACGTTCTGCAAAATTCACACCGTTCATACTAATGTGTTGCTAAAAGAAGCATCATCACTTCTGCTGCTCGTATTCAGCAGCTTACATTTGTCTCAGCACATTTTTACCCTGTTTTCAAGATCTTTTGCTTAATTATTTCCCAAAAAGTTTTCACATTTTAAGTATTTTTCAGAGTAATTATTTTTTTTTACAAATATAAATTATATTATGAATATCATGATTTTGTCATGACTTTATGCCTCCCAAAAATACCAAAATAAATTATATTAAAATACTCACCATAGAAGTCAGTGTATACAGTATGTATTAATGGAATGTATTTTTAAATAAAAATAAGTTATTTTTATATAGTAAGCTAATAAGGTAGGACAAAAAAGTTTAATTGACATTAAAATGTAATTAGTTAAAAAAAATTATAATAATAATTGTTTAATCATTTTTAATTAAAATTACATTTCAATGCAATGTACAGTAATATTTAATTCAATGTGTTACTTGCAGTTTCTTTGTAATTCTTTGTGATTTTTTTTTAGCAATTTCTGTGCAAAGTAAATCCTACACCAGTTTTGTTTTTATTTTATTATTTTCAAGCTGAGTGGAAGAAAAGCTACTACTATACTGATTTAAAGGCTTGAAGATTCACATTTAGGTACTTGCCATTTAATAATGAACACATTCATCTTCCCCACAGTTTCTATTACATCACTTGCATTTCCATGGTAGCCACTGACACTCAAAAACAGCCCAACTCCACCTATAAAGTGGGCAGTAAAGGCGACATTCGCTCCTCGTTATTACTCGAGCTAAACTGTGAAACAGAGGGAAGGCGTGAGTTGTGAAAGCAAGAAAACAAATCAATCTTCTAACCAGCCAATTACAATAATCCTACAAAGTCTGTGAGTAAGAGAAACTGGAATCCACCGAGAGTTTCGTCACGCCGTCCAGATCCAGTCCTGCCTGATTAATGATTATTAGGATGTTATTAACTTCTCTGGGTTGGTTACTCATTCACACACAGTCAGTCTCACACAAACACAGAACCAGCTAAAATGTGCAAGAGTCTTTTAAGCTCCTTGGTTTTAGCTTGATTTGTAGTTTGTGTTGAAGTTCACGTGGATGAAACAGATGGTTGTTGTGTTGTGTGATCACCATGGTAACACGTGTGTGTGTGTGTGTGTGTGTGTGTGTGTGTGTGGTTTCCTTCCTCTTCTTGGCTGTGGTTTGGTAAATGTGTTTTCTTCTGGGGAACACACATGAATATGAATAAATGAATAACTAAACCGCTTGTTTCAGATCAACCTCACTAACCTGCAGGTGGAGAGTTCAGGAAACCCTCTGAGATCTAAAAGAGATCACTAGACTACATGAGAAGGATGTAGAAAAGGATGTTAAACTGTATACGTTTACATAGAAATGTATAGAAATGTATGCATTTCTGTTGCATTAGTATGGAAGCTTGGTTCCGACGGATAAAAACATAAAATTCTATATTTCTAATAAAATTTCCCTTCACAATTCTGCATTTATATCTTACAGTGTTGAGTTTCTCTCTCACAATTCTGACTTTATTCTCAAAATTGTGAGAAAAAAAGTCATAATTGTTAGATAGAAATTCATAATTGTGGATATAAACGAAGAATTGCAAGATATAAATGTAGAATTGCGATAAAAAGTCTGAATTGCAAGATATAAACCCGCAACTGGGAAGAAAAATTAAGTCGGAATTGTTGGATAAAAAGTCACAATTATTTTTTTTTATTCCATGGTGGAAACAAAAGAAAACAGAATTGTGAGATGTAATAAAAAGTTGCAAAAAAAGTCAGAATTGTGAGATATAAACTGAGAATTGTGAGATATAAACTTGCAATTGCGAAAAAAAATAAGTATGAATTGTGATGTAAAAAGTCACAATTATCTTTTTTTATTCCATGGTAAAAAAAAAATTGCGATATATAGACTCAGAATTGCAAGACATTAATGCAGAATTGTGAAAAAAGTCTGAATTACAAGATAAAAACTCGCAATACTGAGAGGAAAAATCTGAATTGTGAGTTTAATCAGAATTGCGAGAAAAAGGCAGAATTGTTAGATAAAAAGTCACGATTACAAAATTTATTTTTATTATTTTTTTTATTTAGTGGCAGAAAGATAGATTAGCGTCACAGAATTTTGCAAAAAAGTAACAATTGTTATCAAACAGGTTTCCTGAACACTGTCATTGGTCAAGACAACTGATAGCTCCGCCCCAAACTCACACCATTGGTCGAGCCAGTGTTGTAGTTGCTGGGCGGGTTGAGATGCTGCTCAAACTCTTTAAAATCACCACAGAAACACAGTATTTACACTTTTCTGGGAAATCAATCCAAGAATGGATTGTATTAATCTGGTATTTTTGAACATAAATTAATACCATTAATGCTTTAAAAATCACAACAAATTTCCATAGAAGCATCAGTTTCGACTTGTCCATAAGAGCTGAATGGAATGATCAACACAATGAAATATGCATTTTTTTTTTCCCAAAGTTAAACCTCAGTTTTAGGTAAAAAATCGAGCAGATCAGTTTGATTACTAAGACTGAATTCAATGCCAGTAGTCAAACTTTGTGTTTGAATTTGCTGCCATGTACTAAGATGAAATCTGTTTCCTAATCGATTGATTGAACACCCATGACTCGTGCAGTAGCTGGAGGAACAACAGAGCCAATACAGATGGTGCTAAATTAAAGATGAACTACAGAACGCAAAAACTAGGCCATTATTCATCGCCCACAGAGCCGAAGCACAACATTGGTCACAGATTGGAGGACCGCGACACAGTCCCGTTCTGGCCAGAAGATCAGTCGCTGCTGAGCACAAATTACAACAATACTGTAGACGTCGAGCCCAGTCCTGCCATCCAACCGCTCACAGCTCGTTTGAAGTAAATAATTTGACTAATCAGCTTCTCAGATGCTCGTTGCTTAGTAACCGGCTTCTCTGTTTCATAGTTCGCCAGGCTGTTTCCGAACTTCACAATTCTATATGCAGAGGACACATGGATTAAAATGCATTTCTGTATTAAGGAGGACAATAAATCTAATCAGATGCATGCATTGCACTTTTTTGAGAAATCATTCAGAGCAATGCTTTATTTATGAAACTGTACATGCATGGCTAATGTAGTCTTCACTTCATCTTCACACTAAATGCTTCTGCATTCGATCTGTTCTCAATTCATGACATTTGAGTTGAACTGAAGTCTTTAGTGGTAAATCAGAGAAATAATATAATACTTATTATTACTTAAAGTTCAGGCTAGTTATGTATGTTTACCTGAAAAATGTTAAGTAACTTTTGAAGGAGAAATACGATAATTATTACATCAAATGACGTATGATTTGATTCACTGTAAATTACCAAAAATGACACAATCTGTACTTGCTCAAAACAGGTTTTCAGTAAATCTCTGTTGATGGTTACTGAAACTGTTTTTTGGGAGGATTGATTTGTGTCTGTCTGTGAATATCTGATACGGCCACTGTGAGAGCACTGTGCATTAAGTTATTACCGATGTGGCGTTTATTGAGCATTACCTCCCAACAGAAGAAAACAGATGATGTAATTAACAGGAAATGGCTTGATTTTGCTCTTGTTTTTCCAGAGACAACATGGGAGCGGCCGTCGAGCACGCCTGGCACCCCGAAAACACCAGTGAAACACAAGAACTCTGTCCCGACAGGTGGGGAACATCAGCATCTATATGTAATTCAAATAGGTGAAAAGCTGTAAAAAAAAAAAATGCCTGCACACTGTGAGGGTGAAAAAAATCAACAAAAAAGCAAATGCGAAACAGCAAACATTTCGGTCACAACATGACCTTCTCCCGTTTAAAGCTGCTGTTTTCTGATAGCCATCATAAATAGTGGAAATGAAAAGACGTGGATGATGCATCCAAACTGAATGGAGAGCATTGACTGTCAGAGCTTTTGGCCAGAGGCGTTTTATCTGGATGGCAGTGAAACCACAGTGGCCTCTGATTACAGATTTCCTGTGTTTCAGTTGTATCTGTGTTTGGAACGCTGGACACTTACAGACAGTCTGCGGGAATCTCTAGCAGCGGACATTATCAACAACAGCATATTTTATAGATTTGATCGCTCAGGTTATATTAAAGGTCCCATATTGTACACCTTTCTGGAGTTTTATTTTAGGTTTTGATGTCCTTAAGAATATATATTTGCGGTATAAGTACCAAAAACCATCTCAATACATTTTTACAGCTCCTCTCTCAGAGATTCGGCTACATAAGGAGCTTAAAATATCATCTTGTTGTGATGTTGGGTACCAGAATCGACGTAATACAGCCTCAAATTAGAAATTTGATCGCATATCTGCTGCCACTGCCAGACAAAAAACCGACGAAAATAGTAGGCTGTGTGCATTTTACTGTGGACTGAGTGTTTTGAAACTTATATGGTAGTTAAATAGCCCCTAGACCTCAGTTATCGTGAAAAAAGCCAGGAAATTTCAGTTTTGACAATATGGGACCTTTAAAGGAACAGTTCACCTTAAAATTTAAATTAGCTAAAAATGTGCACACCCTCAAGTCATCCAAGATGTAGTTGAGTTTGTTTCTTCATCAGATTTGGAGAAATGTGGCATTCCATCACTTGCTCAGCAATGGATCCTCTGCAGTGAATGGGTGCCGTCAGAATAAGAGTCCAAACAGCTGATAAAAACATCACAATATTCCACAAGTAATCCACATCACTCCAGCCCATCAGTTAACATCTTGTGAAGCCAAAAGCTGTGTGTTTGTAAGAAACAAATCCATCATTAAGACGTTTTTAACTTCAAACAGTTGCTTATGGCTAAAATATGAGTCCATAATCCATAAAAACGCTTCCTCCAGTCAAAAAGGTCGTCTGGTCTGAATCAGGAGAGAAATCTGAACAGATCAAACACCGTTTACGAGCCAAAACAGCTCTAAACAAATATGTGGGTGGATTTTGATGTGAGAGAACAATAGGAGATGGACTGTTTTACTGGAGGAAGCATTATTATGGATTATGTACTCGTATTTTAGCAACATTTTGACATGTTTCTTACAAACACGCTGCTTTTTTTCTTCACAAGATGTTAACTGATGGACTGGAGTGGTGTGGATTATTGTGATGTTTTTATCAGCTGTTTGGACTCTCATTCTGGCGGCACCCATTCACTGCAGAGCATCCATTGGTGAGCAAGTGATGGAATGCTACACTTTCTCCAAATATGTTCAGCCTGAAAATGTTAGGAAACAAAGAGAGAACCAGCGATTGAGTACAAACCAGTGCTTGTTCAGTATCAAAAGCGTCTGCCTCCTTAATATACCGTATTGACCCGAATATAAGTCGATGTTTTTTTCTTGGAAATACATCTGAAAAAATGCGGTCGTCTTATATTCAGGGTCTAGACTTTGACATGTCAATAATACAGCAAAGGGATCTCATTATAATATTACCGCCCCTTAATCTGTAAATTTCCACCCACGGCGCCGCCATTGTGTTTTCGCAAGCGACAACGGTGTACCAGCTCTAATGCCATGACGAAAGTTTGACGTCAACTTTTTACGGAAGTCACAATGTTTCGTGAAAAATAGCAGGCTGTGTGCATTTTACACGCTAACTGTTCTGCCTTTGTCTGCACAGACGAGCACAGAACACTATTTAGATCTAAAATAAACATGCAATTTATTTCCCAGCAGTTTACCTTCACAGACATAACCGACTGTTTTTGTAACTCATGTGTGTTTTTAACGTAAACTTGTGTGTGAATGAGAACTTAGTTTAGTACTCACATGCTGTGACAGCCGCTTTCTGTCCGTGTGCTTCGGATGTGTGCTCTCAGAAAACCATATATCAAAAGTTTAAACTCATATGGTTTAAACCGCATGATTTCAGCGCGATAAACATGATAATCAGAACCAAAACAGATGTTTTTAGCAGGTCCGAGCTGTAATGGCGCAGCTCTATTCTGGAAAAGGGGGCTGGGAGCAGCAGCTCATTTGCATTTAAAGAGACAGGCCCGAAAAACAGCATGTTTCTGCTTCAACTCAAAATAGGCATTTTCAAAATGATAAAATAAATGATCTGTGGAGCTATTTTGAGCTGAAACTTCACAGACACATTCTGGGGACACCAGAAACTTATATTACATATTGTAAAATGGGGCATAATATGTCTCCTTTAAAAGATGAAAATAAATACTTATATAATAAAAAAAAAAGTATACACAATAATGTATATATTTACACTTTTTAATATAAAGTGAAATATTTTTGTGTTTTAATGCTTTAGATTTAATAAGTTAATTTTTTCAAATGATATTGACAGCATTTGAGTTTGAGTGAGAAGTTGAATTAAAAAGGAAAATGAAAAGTCAAAAGTTCTTAGTTGTAGTTTGTCTCTTTTTTGTTTTAATGCAACAGCATCGTTTTGAACTTTTTGACATTGAAACATTCTTTATATCCAGGTTTAAGTTCATTTCAAGACTTTCGGACCCCACTGTAGATCACTGTAGTTCAACGCTTGTCCAAAATCTTTTCCTCCTCCATCCATCCACAAATCAGCTAATGGAGAATCTACTGTCCCACCTCCGTCCTTAGCTCCGTTTAGTACTCTTGATTTGATTTGCACCGGCTATCAGCATTTTACAATGTCTAAAAGCACATCTTAATGATAGATGGACAGGATAATCGCGTCCACCAGAGATCCAGCATGTGGACGGCACACCATAGAACAAATGACATTATGAGCCAGCTGAAGAGAAATGAGTGTCATTGACATGGACTGAGGGAGGAAACAGTAGACATGTTCAGGATGAGCACATCTCGGCAGAAAGCCTGTCTCATCACTCTTCCTAAACAAGTGACCAACTGGAAAATGAGGAGCATTTTAATGTATTTACTTCCTATGATGGATGACTGTAATAAAGTCACACAATTAACGGTTAAATCAATAGTTCAAATAAACATTTGAATCTGAAAATGTAGTCACCCTCAGGCCAACTGAGATGTAGATGAGTATGTTTCTTCATCAGATTTGGAGAAATGTAGCATTGCGTTACTTGCTCACCAATGGATCCTCTGCAGTGAATGGGTGCCGTCAGGATGAGAGTCCAAACAGCTGATAAAAACACCACACTAATCCACAAGTAATCCACACCACTCCAGTCCATCAGTTAATGTCTTGTGAAACCAAAAGAAACAAATCCATCGAGATGTTTTTAACTAAAATATGAGTCCGTAATCCATAATAACGCTTCCTCCACTGGTCTGAATCAGGAGAGAAATCTGCACAGATCAAGTACCGTTTACAGCCCAAAACAGCTCTAAACAAATATGTGGCTGGATTTTGATGTAAGAGACAACAGAAGATGGACTTTTTCACTGGAGGAAGCGTTATCATGGATTATATTACTGGTATTTTAGTTAAAAGCATCTTAATGCTGGATTTGTTTCTTACAAACACGAAGCTTTTGGCTTCACAAGATGTTAAATGATGGACTGGAGAGGTGTGTATTACTTGTGGATTATTGTGATGTTTTTATCAGCTGTTTGGACTCTCATTCTGACGGCACCCATTCAGTGCAGAGCATCCATTGCTGAGCAAGTGATGCAATGCTACATTTCTCCAAATCTGATGAAGAAACAAACTCATCTGCATCTTGGATGGCCTGAGAGTATGGACGTTTTCAGATTTTTATTTTTGAGTGAACTATTGTTTAAATAGTCTCTCAGACGTATTTAAACTAATTGTTGATAACTAGCATTGTGCTTTAGGAATAATGAGTTTGAGCGAGGGCTTTTTGCTCTGACATTTGAAATGACCCTCCCTTGATAAAGCAGAATGGAGCAGCTTGTTATCGCACACAGACCATCAGCATCAGAGCAGGTTCTACAAATATAGTCAGGCTGTTTATAATTAGACAGGGTGCACAGGAGGTGCTGGAACACGTCTGGAAGGTTGGAGATATTGTGTCTCAATGAGAAAGGAATCACTTTCTTCTTCAGGTGCTTGTTCTCTGACTACTGTTGTCCTTGGCCTGCTGACTGGAGCTATTAGAGGGGTAGTTTGCACAAAAACCGAGTCCACCGGTGTAGTCTGAATGACTATTATGAGCAGATTCTTTTTAGGAAATCAAAAACATACACAACCGTGCAGTCTGATTCCTGAACGGTTGACTCTTATGAGACGATTCTTCCTAGTGATTCAGAAACATAGACAACCAGTGTAGTCAGATTCCTTAAAGAATGACTCTTATGAACCGATTCTTTTTAGTGATTCCAATACATGAATTGGCTTTTTTAGCGTATCAGTGAACCATATGAGTGAATTCTTCTTTTAAGGCAGTGTCGTCTGGAAAGCCGCTTTGGTGCAGCGTGTTTTGTGACAAACATTGTATGAATTCAATTCACAAATGGAGCCTTGCATTGATTCTGTACACAATAGCAGTGCATGCTGTTCATCACACACTGCCCTGCGTCTTTGTTACACGACCTTGCGAGAGGAAAAGATGTTGATCTCTCCTGGCTTTAAATCAAACTCATCTCAGTGTTTTCTTCCTCTCCAGTGAATGGATTTCATGGTAATGGCAGCCCGTTGCATCAGACTGAACCATCGCATGTACTGATGCGGAAGACCAGCACAGATCAACAGGTACGGCTGATCTCTCACATATGGACTAGTTCTCATTTATTCATTTAGCAGATTCCTCTGGACTACAAATCTGATTTCATTCCAGAAGTTATTTTTGTATGTCTCTCCATCTGCATCACTGGCATTAAAACAATAAACTAACGGAGATTTATTCAAGCTGAGACTCTTTGAGCTAGTAAAATGTTTTATTGCATATCAATTTATTGATGATTCAGCATATGATTGATATGATCTTTTGGAGGGAATATAAAGCAGTTTCTCAATCTGCCAAAATCTAAGGTGCTTTTTATCAATCTGCCAGGAAACAAGTTGCATTTATAATAATAAATGATAATGATAAAATTAGTGCTTCTCAGGAAGAAACTGAACTTGATTTATCACTGAAAAATCTGTGTGTTTTTGAGGCAATTTGTAGCAATCAAACGAAATATCTATGATCAGATCTGAGTATTTTACTTTATTTTCTGAGTTACACAGTACCAAAGATTTTTTTTTTTTAAAGAAATTAATACTTTTGTTCAGCAAGGGTGCATTATATTGATCAAAAGTGACATTTATAATGTTACGAAAGATTTATATTTCAAATAAATGCTTTTTTTTTCTATTCATCAGAGCATCCTGAAAAATAAAATGCATCATGGTTTCCACAAAAATATTAGGCAGCACAATCAGAAATGTTTCTAGAATGATCATCATATGACACTGAAGTCTGGAGTAATAATGCTGAAAATTCAGCTTTGATCACAGGAATAGCCGAAATTACATTTTAACATATATTCACATTAAAACAGCTATTTTAAAATGTAATAATATTTCATAGTATTACTGTTTTTACTGTATTTTTTTGATCAAATAAACACAGCCGTGGTAAGCAGAAGAGACATCTTTTATCTTTTATTCCAAATGTTTGTCTCTGAAATAATCAGCACTTATTATTATTACAGTGTTATATGAATATTTTCCCCACGTCAGTCTGTCATTGCTAAGGTTGGGTGCTCCATGGGTTGGTCAGGCGTTTTCTTCCTGTTTAAGTGGGCGCTTTTGGCCAGAATCAGCTGTAATGTGCTTATGCTGTCTGGTCTGGCTTTACAAGACTAACTATTAGTAAGCCACTCGTAGGCTGATTCTCCTGAAAACGCCTGTGCTGTTGTGCTGCTCTCAAAACATTGCATCCCCACACAGCAACATCAGCTCAACCAATCGTGTGAGTTTGGGGGTGGAACTATGTCAAGCCAACCAATGGAAAACAGGGGGGAGTGTTCAGAAAAACGTGTTGCAGTGACACAGTATCACCTTCAATGAGCATTTACTGAAGGTGCGGCAGATGTCACCTATGAAACCCACTTTTCTTTTCTCTCTCCCTCCTGATGATCTCAGGGTGGAGATGACAACTCACACCACACACACACACACACACACATCGCAGCATCACGATGATGTCTGACGCTCAGTTTTGTGTCTTCTGTCAGAGTCCTGGCTCGACTTCACCCAGCAGGAATCAGGAGTGCGAATCCACAGTAACTGTGAGTACGACAGCTAAACAAACACACACTGAAGACTGACAAACAAACTGATCTCAGATGCTTAAACTGCATGACAACAAAACATATTCAAGCAAACAGGAAACCCAAACGGACAATGTTTACTTTCCTAAAGCATGTTTCTGGTTGTACTGTGAACGAATCTTTGGTGCATGCTTTTATAATGAAAACAAAATGTTATCTTGAAGCAATTTATTCTAGCTTGCTCTGCTGCTGCGATGACTTTCCTTTTCCTCTGACATCACATAAGCCGTTGGATCATCTTAACCTATAGGCAGATTATTTTTTGGCCAGGGGTTCTAAAACTGTTCAATAGCAAGGACCCAAAAATATGATTATTCCCTTTCCTATAATATACAGGCAGCTATATATTTTCATTTATTAAAAAAAATGCCCAAAAAACGTATTTATACTGTGTGAGAAAAATATAATAAGGCAGCAAAATCAAATGTTTCAAAATTAAGACCACGACATAATAAAAGCCAACTATTTATTAAAGCAAACTGTTAAAATAATATCTTTAAAATATTATAAATTTCATTAATATCCTAAATGATCACATTAACTGAAAAGCCTTAATCATACATTTTGTAAAACTCTTTTTAAGCTCTTTTAGCAAACTCACATGCAATCTCTATTCTGCGGAGTACTGTGAAATTGTGCTGAAGTGAAAGTACAGATACAGTGTCAAACATTTTACTTAAAAGTCCTAGCTAAAAATAAAAGTAAAAATGTATTCACATTAACTTAAGTATTGTACTTAAGTGTTAAACTTAAAAAGTACTCATTTTAGTATTTTTAATGCAATACATTTGGTGGAAAAAATCACTATTTTCTCATTGTTCTGTCTAAGATACTTAGACAGCAGATGTTAAAGTGAAACCTGTTACCTGAATATATTCAGCAGATGATTTTACAGTGTTTTGACATTTGAATATAATGATTTGTAGACTAACCATGAACTGTGTTAACACTTGACTCAAGTTCATCAATCATAGCTTTTATAAAAACACATTAATATAGTCTGTGTCTGAAAGGACTACTTCACCGAGTAATGATCTCATGTGAGTATGATTGATTCGCTCGTTAGTCACATTAGAAGAAAAAAAGTACTATTTTTATTTTAAAATAGTTATGAGAAGATTTACATCATGATGAAATATAACACTCGTTCTTCGTTCTTTTACCTATTATTTTCAACTTGTAAATGTAACTGAGTAAAAGTACAAGTATTAGGTTTTAACAGGCCTCAAGTTAGTACAGATTCTACAAAATAATACTGAAGTATAGTAGTACTTTACACCTCTGCAACTTGTGTAGCGCCTGCTTTTAATGATCCAATTGATCCATAATTCCCATTTTCTGAATATAATTGGCACATTATAGTATTGTGCCAAATCCTACCAAAATTTGGAACCCCAAAGTGATTCCATTAGCTGACAGAATTTATATTGGTGTCTGATTAAAAATACTTGATATTAATACTAAGACTTTTAAAGGTGACATCGGATGCCCATTTTCCACAAGTTGGTATGATTCTTAAGGGTCTTCATAAAAAGTATATAACATACTTTGGTTAAAATTTCTCAATGGTAGTGTAAAACAACACCCTCTCAAAAACAGCTCTGTTCACAGTGACCCGTTTTGGTGCATGTCCCTTTAAATGCTAATGAGCTCTGCTCACCCGCCCCTCTCTTCCATTCTTGCATTAAAGTCACCATTCTTATTCATGCAGTTATAACTGCTCAAAAACTATTTAAAATACATTTGTAAATGACTTCTTAGTCATTAACAAACACCATTATATACCCTCCACAGAGGCAACCTTGAAGGGTTAGTTCACCCAAAAATTCTGTCATTAATTACTCAACCTCGTAATGTTCCAAACCCGTAAGACCTTCGTTCATCTTCTGAACACAATTTAAGATATTTTTGATGAAATCTGAGGGCTCTCTGACCCTCCCATAGACAGCAAGGTAACTACCACGTTCAAGGTGGCGGCGCCGGCGCTCAAGTAGATATAACTGCAGAACGGAGATCCGGTGTGATGATGTCATTACGCCGGATCTGGGTCAGCGCTGCCACACGCTCGCGTCATGTAGTGGACGGCACGCGACAAAGCGAACGTTGCAAATCATTTGAACTTTGTGTCAGTATGTCATAAATAGAACGAGGCAGCAGTTTACTGTTAGGGATTTGTCGTGTCGCGCCACATCCAGTGTAGACAGCATCACTTATAATGAGTTCTACAGTATTTTGTCGCACCGCGTCCGGTGTAGACACGGTGTGAGACTGTTCACTTTAGCTGCGTTCGTCGTGGAACTTGCTAACTAGCACATTATTAGGAAAGGCGATTTGCAAAGATTCATAAAAAAAACGTATTCCCCGTTCACACTAAGAACAATAACTATAAAGATAGCGATATTAGCATCCACACCAGCGAACTATATCGTCTGTTTATTCTCACCACACGCTCGTCTGCTGCTTTAAATTTTCGAGCTTGTAATAGCGGGATGGATTATGTGTCAATGTTTTTATCGTTCATTACCAGGAAAAAATCGTTCTGGAAGTGATTCCAGTGGTGCGGACTCTGCTATTCTTTAATATTGACAACGATTTTTAGAATTGCATCTTTATCGTTATCTTTATAGTTATCATCCTTGGTGTGAATGGGCCTTTATACTCACTTCTTTTGGTGGTGAAGCTACCGAACAACTTTTTAGCAAAACCTGCTTTGTACTGACCCTCGTTTACAAAGCAGTCTGATGTCAAATAAATTACACAAACAAAACGCATTTAGGTACATCATGGGCTCATTCCCTTAAAAAACAAAAGTAATCCACTGCGTCTACAGCGGCTCAGATGTCGGGAGTAAATGACGACTGCTATGTTCATTATTACATCTAACAAGAAAACACCTCAATTGCTTAGGAGCCATTCTTGTCTACGTCCCTGCTCCGGCGTCGAAACAATGGAGGACTGATGACAGCTCACTCAGGGCGGGGTCTAAGGTAAAACGCCAGTGTCCGTCAACAGTCGTGGGAGGGGCCTGTGCAAAGCTGCGTCACTTTGCCCAGAATCTGTGAACGACTTGATCTGAAAAAGTGCTTATGATTTGTGGGGATTTTAAAAAAGCACTGGCTGGATTTTTATCATTATAGGGTGGTTGTGTACACACACTGCCAACACACATTTCAGTTCAAACACCATGTAAAAGTGAATTTTTAAATATTAAATATGACATAAAATAACCAAAGCTATTAATATGAATCAAAACATTTCTCTTTCTTTGTGATTTCATGTAATCAGTTATTGTAGCAAAACACTAAATCTGGGTTGCAAATGTACCAGTGCAACTACATTTACGTTCCTCTGCATCAGGTGTGATTATCATAGTTGCATCTGTGTTGTGCAACACAAACAGATCAGAAATGCACACCTGCGATGCATTACAGATCAATGATGAAACCGCATGCAGCAGGAGGATGCTTTGAGTTTCTGGGGATACAAGTGACGTCTGTAAGCAAATGCACGGCATTTGACTTAGAAAAGGAATATCAGCCGTGTAGCTTTGATAAGCACATTATTCATGTAAATTTCTGAAATTACGTTAAACTACAAGGCAGATTTAACCTCATTTGATGTGTAACTACTGATGGTCTTCTTAACTTGATTGATTTGCATAGAGCGACCATAAGATGCAGCAATATGGCAATGCAGTCTCTCAGGAGTAGCTATAAATAAACGTGGTGAATTTACTGACTCGTTCTTCAATGAACAATCTGTATGAGATTTATTATTGCAGGATAGACTAGTATTATCCTGACTGTCAGACATGAGTCACTGTCTGAAGCGTTATCAGAGACACAAAGAGCTGTTCATAAGAGTTATCAGGACTTTCAACAACTTAAACAATGTAACAATAAGAAAAATGAGAAGAGAAAATTGCTTAATTGTGAAACTGTCTGATTTGTTACACACACACACACACATATATATATATATATATATACTGTATATCATTAGTCCAGTGTGCCACACTTGATTATTTTCATTAGAGCCGATGCAAACGGGTGTGGAGACTCGTTCTCCTCCTCCATTTCTCCTTACATTATCCAGCTTCAGCACAAAGGCATAATAAGCCTCTGAAAATCTCAGTGTGTGGATCCGGAGGAACTTATGATCATTGTGCAACCAGTCAATGCACAAGCTTGTTCTGTTTATCCAGAAAAATCCAGTTGCAGACAAACCAGAAGTGAGGCAACAGTTGCAATATGAGGCCAGTTCTGTGCCGTTTCCTCATTTGCTATGATGCAGATTCAAACATTAGGCAACATGGGGAGTGTTGTGAGCTCATTCAAACCGAAGGGAATTTCCTTTGCCACCAACTCAGAGTCAGCATCATACTTTCCTCTCGCAGACAGCAGCGTCAGACCTCAGAAACGTCCACGCAAGTCATTCTGCATCTAAACAGTAGGGCCAATATCTGTTTTACAAGGGAAATACTGATGGAAAAGGCTAACATAGAGAGGAGCAGTGTTCATCTGACTGGTGAAATCACTGTATGTTTTGCAACAGATGCAGTTTCAAGTTAAAAGTTTTTGTCATTTTATTAGTCTCTTTAAGTCTATTTGTTTTTAAGTTTTAGTTTTGCTTTAATTTTAGTTATTGTAGTACTTGAACCTAAACTAAACAAAAATGAGAAATATTTATTTTTCAGTACAATCATGTTTATTTTACTTCAAGTAATGAAAATGTTTTTTTTTAATGGTTTTAGTTTAAGTTTAAATTAACAGTAATAATCCTGGCAATATTTTCTTAATGCAATGACGCTTAGTTATATGCCTGCAGTATGTGTGATTAAAACGCCTAAAATCAAGTGTAGCGTTAGTTCTAGCAGGTCACGTTAGTCAAGCTCGCATCAGCTGACTCTCAGCTGATCCCCATCTACCTATAGGAATACAACACCTATCTAAGCATTCATATATAAGTTCCCTCAGTATTATCAGCAGTTTTCGCATTGCTCAATAGCTAATTACCCTCCTCCATCCCCAGCTCCTCCTCATATAAAGTCACAGTTATCAGAAACAAAGTCACAAAAATATACACTTTTTTATGTAAAGCAGTTGTAGTTTATGGAAACAAATTTCGACCTACAAAAAAAGAAAAAAAAAAAACTTAATTACTGAAAATGTTTAAAATAAGAAATAAAGTCACAATTGTGACAATATAAAGTCACCGTTATGAGAAACAAAGTCACAAAAATATACACTTTTTTATGTATAGCAGTTGTAGTTTATGGAAACAAATTTCGGCTCCTCTGTCAGTCAGGATTCAGCCTTCTGATTATCCTTTGAATCAGACTAATTTCAAAATGTGTACATAAAATTATTGAACTTTAACGATATCTGCAATACATTTATGTTGGTTCTGTTCTGAAGGCTGGGGGGGGGTTATCGCTGCTCTCCCTGCTCTCAGCATGGATGCGCAGGGAGTTCTTGCCCAGAACAGAACCATACCACCAATCCAAACTGTATGCTAATTGTCAATCATCTTTGACGATAGAGGTCCTGACAGAAATGTTTTGCATAAACAAACAAATAATCTGAAGCCCATAAACTGTGTAGACCTTCATGAGCATCAATTATTAGATGGTCAGTAGGCTTTTGCATACTAACACGGGGTGTTCCAGCTACAGTCCTTCTGTTTTCTCTGTTTAAAGTGCATAAACAGCTGCTGGAGCTCCACACTGAGCTGTAATTGATCAACAGCTGCTGCTTATCGAGTGTGTTTACAGTCCAGGACAGATCATCGCACGCGGAGCTCATGCATTAACATTACAAGCTGCTTTAACTCTTAAACATGCATGAAGAACTTTGCACTTAAGAATAGTTTTACACCTAAAAAAAGAATAGTTGTTTTAAAAAGTTTGAAATGACGCACACTTGAGATGAAGACTGCAGTCGTATCAGTGGCTCACGAAAAGCCTGTATTTATCGTACATATGAGGAAAGAATGTTGACATCACGTAACCAGATACCTTCGACACAAAATAAATTAATAAAGTTTAACAAATATGCCTGCAGATAAACCATACAGTATGCATTCACGCCAACTGGTGTAAAGCACACACATCCTAACGACTAGCGACATAAAAATTATTCTCAATATTTACTTTCTTAATATATGTTCGAGGTATCATTGTTCACGATTCATCAGAACTATTTGTATTTTTCTTTAAAATATACATTTTTCAGCTTTGAATTTTTCCTTTTACACCTGACGTCACCAACCAACAACGCATAAAAACAATCAATGATTGCGAATTTGATACAGAATGTAAATTAGCAAGTTAATTTACATTGAGTAATTTAATAATTTGAATTGAGAAATTACATTTCAGACAAAATATCAGGTGCTTTTTACAAACTAATTTTGCAGAAGCAACAGTCGAGTGTCTCCGAGCGACATACAGCAGCGGTGTATCATTCCTATCGATTCAATGACTCACTCATAAAGACACTCACCTGTTACTTTTCTGAATGAATCAGTGTTTAGAACAAATCCATTCAAATAAATGGTTCAATGACTCACCCCTAAAGCCACTCGTCCGTTTCGATCCTTAATGAATCAGTGTTTTGAACAAATCAATTCAAATGAATGATTCAATAACTCACTCATAAAGCCACTCACCTAGTTTGTTCCTGAATGAATCAGTGTTTAGAACGAATCCATTTAAATAAATGATTCGATGACTCACCCATAAAGCCACTCACCCGTTTCTTTCCTTAATGAATCAGTGTTTTGAATAAATCAACTCAAATGAACCATTCAATGACTCAGGCCATTTCCACATGTACACGGGTATTTTTATAAACTGAGTTTTTCCTTCTTCCGTTTTAAAAAAAATCTCCGTCCACATGAAAACGCAAACGCATGCTATGAAGCACTGTCAAGAGCATGCCAAACCAACAGGTGGCGATATAATCTCAACCGTAAAGCCATGTTGGCCAATCAGAAGCCTGAAAAAGTTTCCAGTAGGCGGAGATAGCAGCGCAGGCTCCGACGTCACAAGCCAAAAACTCCGGTTTCGCTGTCTACACGACAACACTGCAACCGGAGTTTTTTAAAATCTTCACCCTGACAGGCGTTTTCAAAAATGTTCGGTTTCAGTAACCTGGTTCTGCGTTTGTGTGTGGACGAACGGCCAAACCGCATAGAAAAAGCTGCGGTTTTAAAAATAACCGCGTTCGTGTGGACAGGGCCTCACTCAAAACGCCACTCACTTGATTCGTTCCTACATGAATCAGTGTTTAGAACGAATCCATTTAAATAAATGATTCGATGACTTACTCATAAAGCCACTCACCTGATTCGTTCCTAAATAAATCAGTATTCTGAACAAATCAGTTCAAATCAATGATTCAGTGACTCACTCATAAAGTCTGAATGAATCAGTGTCGTTGAACAAATCGCTTGAATTAGTGATTCACTGACTCACGCCACCTATTGGTGTAGAACTATAACTGCAGAAAGAGTGGCTATAAAATCTCCCCCACTAACACACAAACACAAACAAGTGGAGGGATTCAGTTCAAATAGTACATTAACTAGTGAATCCAGGTAAAATTTGGGACACTTTTTGCCATTTATCCTGAATTAACCCTGTTGTACAATTTTCATTTGAGGATGGGTGATTGTGTTTCTTTATGTTTATGAGTTAGAATTGTTACTGTTTCTTTATTTGTCTAATTTAGCAGTTTATGATGCCCATTATATTATATTGTCATCACTGATGTTTTTGTGATTGGCAGCACTGACTGTCATAAGTTAGTTTAGAACAAACTTTGCTGCCATCGCTTACTGTCCACTTTTACAGTTTTGTGAGTTGCTCTGTATTGAGGGTTGGAATTGGTTGTCAGTTTCTCATACTGTTCTTCAACGTCCTGCTGCGAGCTGATGTCTCTGGATGATTTCTTTCCCTCTGTAGATCAACTGCATGACGTTTCCTTTTCCACTGCACATGTCTGAACAGCAGCTGCTCAAACCAGACGAGTGGAGCTACTGCGATTATTTTTGGGTAAGCAAGAACGTCTCCAACCACTGACAAACCACAAAGATTTGCTCACATAGTTTAGAAAAGCCTCACAAACAGTGCGAATGACATGCTTTGCGTATCCTTTTATACTGTTTAACAGCATGAATTTCATCAAACATCTGTAGTAATCTGCTTTGGCATGTAGTTTTGATTGGAGAAGATCCCACCGAATCCTTGTTCTGCCACTTTATCACGCTTCCGTGCTCATGAAATCTGCCTTGTGTTTTGTCTGTGGTTCCAGGCGGACAGAAAGGACCAGCAGGGAAGCGCCAACATCTCAGGATTCGAGGTTCTGCTGCAAAAACAGCTGAAGGGAAGGCAGATGCAGAAAGAGATGGCCGAGTTTGTGCGGGAGAGGTAAACGTTTGTCATCCAGACTGAAGACAGAAAAAAATATTCACTCAAAAATTGATAATACATTTCACAATTACAAATAAATGACAAGTAACGCACTGAATTAAACATGAATTTTGAAGTTAAAAATCTGAAATAGTATTTTATTTACACTTTCTTTCTTTCTTTCTTGCTGTGTAAAGGATATAATTTTCAGGGGAAAAAAGTGGATAAAAATTGTGTAATAATAATTCATAATTCAATATTCATTCATTCATTCATTCATTCATATATTTATTTAGTTATTTATTTACAGGGTCAGTGGTACCAAACAAACATTTACCATAATTTTTCTATAGTAACTGTAGTACCTATAGTGTTTTGGCAAAAATATACACTTTTTTTATGTATATATATTGTAGTTTATGGAAACAAATTTCGGCCTACAAAAAAAAAAAAAAAACTTAAAAACTTAATTACTGAAAATGTTTAAAATAAGAAATAAAGTCACAATTGTGACAATATAAAGTCACAGTTATCAGAAACAAAGTCACAAAAAAATAAACTTTTTTATGTATAGCAGTTGTAGTTTATGGAAACAAATTTCGGCCTACAAAAAAAAAAAAAAACTTAATTACTGAAAATGTTTAAGATTAGAAATAAAGGCACAGTTGGGAAAATATAAAGTCACAGTTATCAGAAACAAAGTCACAAAAATATACACTTTTTTATGTAAAGCAGTTGTAGTTTATGGAAACAAATTTCGACCTACAAAAAAAGAAAAAAAAAAAACTTAATTACTGAAAATGTTTAAAATAAGAAATAAAGTCACAATTGTGACAATATAAAGTCACAGTTATCAGAAACAAAGTCACAAAAATATACACTTTTTTATGTATAGCAGTTGTAGCTTATGGAAAAAAATTTCAGCCTCCAAAAAAAAAAAAAAATTTACTGAAAATGTTTAAAATAAGAAATAAAGTCACAATTGTGACAATATAAAGTCACAGTTATCAGAAACAAAGTCACAAAAATATACACTTTTTTATGTATAGCAGTTGTAGTTTATGGAAACAAATTTCGGCCTACAAAAAAAAAAAAATTTACTGAAAATGTTTAAAATAAGAAATAAAGTCACAATTGTGACAATATAAAGTCACAGTTATGAGAAACAAAGTCACAAAAATATACACTTTTTTTATGTATAGCAGTTGTAGTTTATGGAAACAAATTTCGGCCTACAAAAAAAAAAACATTTACTGAAAATGTTTAAAATAAGAAATAAAGTCACAATTGTGACAATATAAAGTCACAGTTATGAGAAACAAAGTCACAGTTGTGAAATATAAAGTCACATTGTGAGATATAAAATCATAATTGTGAAATTTAAAGTTACATGTCACAAGTCTCAACTGCAAGGCATAAATTCATAATCCTGTTTTTTGAAGTAGAATGAAACAGCTAGTTATAGTTTCTGAATGTCTTTATGCTACTATATTTAATAGCACAATAGTTGTTCCGGAAAGCATCATTACGCTGATCTAAACATGGCACTAGTTAGTTGTATGTGTGGTCACTAAGGTCTTACAACAAATACGGTTATGGGTACGATTACATTATCTATGTTGGTGAAATTGTGTAATATCTTGATATAGCAGCTGTTGCCTTGACTAAAAACATAAAAACACAACAACACAGCGCATACAACTTCCTGTAGCTCATTTCCTGTATTTCATGAATAGTTTTAGAAAACAAATGATTCAGAGTGCTTGATTCTTTCTTGCTGTGAACTTTAGATCTGCTCTTAAACGTAATTCTTCTTCGGTTATGTTTGCGCCGAGATTTGGATAGAATGAGCTACAATCGGGGTTCACATGAAGTGTGTTTGTCCCTGAGGAGAAACATTGGAGTCTGGGAAGGAAATGACCTTAGTGTGTGAAAGTCAGAACAGACATCTGCGCTCAGCCTCTTCACATGTGCCACAGATCCATGTGCTGCGCTCTATCACTCCAGCACAACTTAAATGCCTTTATTTATTTGGACAGGATCAGGATCGAGGAGGAATACGCCAAGAACCTGTCGAAGCTCTCGCAGATCCCGCTGGCGGCGCAGGAGGAAGGGTATGTCACCTAGCGTTTGGAGGAAAACAATGGCAGACGTGGAATAATACACCCTCTGTTCTCCTTACAAACTCAGAATCTCATGCAGTGACCTTCAGACAAATGTAATGATTTATAAACTGACTACAGTCATGGCTGAATGGATTGGGACCGACAATGTGAAACCTCTTCAGTTGTGCTCTTAAAGGAATGGTTCACCCAAAAATGAAAATGTGCTCACCCTCAGGTCATCCAAGATGTAGATGAGTTTGTGTCTTCATCAGATTTGGAGAAATGTAGTATTGCATCACTTGCTCAGCAATGGATGCTCTGCAGTGAATGGGTGCCGTCAGAATGAGAGTCCAAACAGCTGATAAAAACATCACAATAATCCACAAGTAATCCACACCACTCCAGTCCATCAATGAATGTCTTGTGAAGCCAAAAGCTGCATGTTTCTAAGAAACAAATCCAGCATTAAGACATTTTTAACTAAAATACAAGTCCATAACAATGCTTCCTCCAGTGAAAAAGTCCATCTCCTGTTGTCTCTCACATAATAATCCACCCACATATTTGTTTGGAGCTGTTTTAGCTTATAAACGGTGCTTGATCTGTGCAGATTTCTCTCCTGATTCAGACCAGATGACTTCACTGGAGGAAGCGTTATTATGGATTATGGACTGATATTTTACCCAGAAGCAACAGTTTGATGTTAAAAACATCTTAATGCTGGATTAGTTTCTTACAAACACACAGCTTTTGGCTTCTCAAGACGTTAACTGATGGACTGGAGTGGTGTGTATTACTTGTGGATTATTGTGATGTTTTTATCAGCTGTTTGGACTCTCATTCTGACGGCACCCATTCACTGCAGAGCATCCATTGGTGAGCAACATATATATAATAAATGTAATAATATTTATACAATTTTACATTTAATGCATATTTTATCATGTTTATATTTTATTAAATATATTGTCCCTTGTCATCTACTCTCAGCACGCTTGGAGATGCTTGGGCTCAGCTGAAGAAAAGCCTGGCAGATGAAGCAGAAGTTCATCTCAAGTTCTCCTCCAAGGTGAGATGTTGCAACAGAAAGATGCAGGACTGCATTTAAAGCCTGTAGGATTGATTCTGAGCCGGTCGAAACGCACAGCTGTTCTGGAGGAATGTGCTCTGTGCTGATGTTCCGCTCTCTGAAGAATATGAGAGCAGAGGTTACACTGTACATATACACGTATATGTATCTCTAACACCGAAGCAATAAAAAGACATGATGTAGGAGGGTCTTTTTCACTTTTAGCTTTAGTTTCTCACAGCTTTCTAAAGTAAAATACTCGGTCTGTCTCTGATGTGCTTCAGCTTCAGAGTGAAGTGGAAAAGCCTCTGCTGATATTCCGGGAAAACTTCAAAAAGGACATGAAGAAGTTCGACCATCACATGGCGGATCTCAGGAAGCAGCTGGCCGGCCGAAACGCCGGCGTGGAGAAGGTACTGACCGCAAAACATGATTCATCTCATGTGTCGTGAATATGTGGCCGTATTTAGTCTTCACATTTAGCATCTTCTAAAGTTACAGGGATTTTTCTCATGCATTATTAAAAGTCCAGCATATTTTCTGAAGAAGTGGACCATTTTTCATCTCTGGAGCCCATTGGGTTTCTATATATAATCTCATGCCCTTCAAACCAATGACCTTCTCATAGAGTATTTACTGATCTGGCCAACAGGGAACAAAACAATTTGCCGTCTTTTAAAGGGACAGCGCACTCAATACAAACGGTCATTATTTACACATTCGCTGGTTCTCGCATGTTTTGTGATCAGTCACATCAATGCCAAGTTTGAATATAAGCACACGTGCAAATATAGAAAGACATGCGTGTAAGTAATTGACCGTTCGCAGTGAGCTTGCCCGACATCTACGGCCGGTCTCCATAGAAAACCATGTTAAAACGGGGTAAAAAAGATAGACTGAATTGAAACTTTTTCAATGTAACTAAATATAAAAATGTGCGGAGGGTTAAGCTGTGCTGTTGTTGGCTGCCACAGTAACGGTTTGGGTGAACTATCACTTTCAGTGTCACACATCCTCACTATCAAGTGTGCATGTTTTTTTGTAAATCACCATCAGCTGCTGTACTCTTTTAGTGTTTGGTATGAGCACAACTGCCAGTGATTTTTTTTCAGCAGCACGTCAGTCTGGTAGAGAAGGCTAATTGTTTCATATACAATGCGAAGCGTGTCAGCGAGCGCCGCCCACCGTCCCACAGACAGACGGCACAATCCCGCCATTCTTCTGATTCTCAGCCCCCGCTGTGTCGTCGCTTGTAATGACCATTGTTTTTTTTTTGTCCGGCTCCCACGTCTGCGCTCACAACCTCTTGTTTATTCCTAAATTCACGGCTTGTGTTGCTGCCGTGCAGAAATCATTGTTGCAGAATTGCAGGTTGTGACCTTTTGGCTTTGCATTTTTGCCATTGTATGACTGGCCTCTGGAGCTGATCATGTGCCATTAGTGCTGTATGCTGCATATACATTATATACACTACTGTTCAAAGGTTTGGGGTCCAATTAAAAAAAAAAAAATGCTTTTATGCAACAGTGAAGCATTAAGTTGATCAAAAGTGCCAGTAAAGGCATTTACAATGTTACAAATGATTTCCATTTCAAATAAATGCTGTCCTTTTGAACTTTCTATTCATCTGTGAATCCTGAAAAGTAAAATGTATCACAGTTTCCACAAAAATATTTGGCAGCACAACTGTTTTCAACAAGATAAAATGATATGTTAAAACGTGCTTTGCCCCGATTGGGAGCTGTATATGCGTGAGAACCATAGACTGTATAAAAACATGGACGTAGTGTACGTGACGTCACCCTTTGGTTTCTGAAGAGAGTTTTTGAAGCTCAAAGTGGGCGGAGCCGGCCGCCGCCAACTTGGCAGCGCGTCACTCCTGGATAATCGAAAATGGGCAAAGAGGCGGGAGGTGGTTGCTGAAACCACGCCCACCTAGCTCGACGGTGATGACAGCAGCGGCAATCCATCTGTCACTCAAGTGGCCACGCCCTTAATTATGCAGAACTTTAAGGCTTAATATATACATTATATACACTACTGTTCAAAGGTTTGGGGTCCAATTAAAAAAAAAAAAATGCTTTTATGCAACAGTGAAGCATTAAGTTGATCAAAAGTGCCAGTAAAGGCATTTACAATGTTACAAATGATTTCCATTTCAAATAAATGCTGTCCTTTTGATCTTTCTATTCATCAATGAATCCTGAAAAGTAAAATGTATCACAGTTTCCACAAAAATATTTGGCAGCACAACTGTTTTCAACAATGATAATAATATATCAGAAATGTTTCTTGAGCAGCATGTTAGAATATTTTTTTAAGAATCTTGTGACACTGAAGACTGGAGTAATGATGCTGAAAATTCAGCTTTGATCACAGGAATAAATTACATTTTACAATATATTCACATAGAAAACTCTTATTTTAAATTGCAATAATATTTCACAATTTGTACCATATTTTTGATCAACAAATGCAGCCCTGCTGAGCAAAAGAAAAGTAAATAATATAAAGATATATGTTCAATGAAAAAGTCAAAATACTGAAAATTATATTTATGTATAATATAGCTAAATGCATTGCTCACCTCTCTCAGTAAACAGGAGAAGCAGGTTCAGACCAGAGGTTCAGGTTGGAATCTGATGTCTGATAAGAAATGAATCATCAGATGTATTTTTATGGATTCATACAGAATTATCTTCCCTTACCAACAGTGAGAAAGAAAAGTATTGATATTCAGCCTTGTGGATTTGACTCAGCTAAAGTTTAGATTGTTCAATTCCTCCCACGTCTTTTATTGAAAGTGCTCCTATGAATCAGTGCGTCAGTCCGAACGGAAAGGCCTCAGAACGGCTCAGTCTAAACATCCGAAACATCTCAGGAATGAGGCGGTCGAGTCTGATCAGGCAACAGTAACTAAGGAGGGCGGGTCTTTGCAAATGGTCAATTGGCAGCATTTTTATTTTAGGTTGAACTGTCCCTTTAAGAAAGAGCGTAATGTAAAGAACAAGTGATTTAAATTTGAATATGCTATTGTTATAAAGATTTTAATTATTAGAGTTAATTTATAATCAGAAAAGATTTAGTAAATATATATATATATATATTCCTTAATTGTTCACATCACTGAACAGAGAGAACAGATTTATTCAGCAGCATCTGGATCTCAACATGCAACAGCAGATGCTTCTGAACACCCAAAACAAAACACATCATGCTCATCTTGTCTCTCATGTTCTTCATCAGGCACGGAAAGCGCTTGCAGACCGGCAGAAGGATCTGGAGTTAAAAACCCAGCAGCTGGAGATCAAACTGAGCAGTAAGATCGAGGAGGACATCAAGAAAGCACGCAGGAAATCCACACAGGCCGGTCAGTGCAAACCTCTCAACCTGGGAAACGTATTATTAGCCCATGCTGATGATTTCAAATGTAAAGCATGAGTTGGAGCCATGATGATGTATGAGTCCCGCATCTGTATCTTCAGGTGATGATCTGATGCGATGTGTTGATCTCTACAATCAGTCCCAGTCCAAGTGGTTTGAGGAGATGGTGACCAGCAGTCTGGTGAGAGATTGACCGAGCTTTCACAGACACCAGTTCTTCAGATAATGCCACTTCTAACTGCTTAATATAGTCAAATGAAAGATTGCAATGATGAGTTTTAGTTTTTCATCTCTGAAGCATTTATTAATCTCAGTTAATGGGAACTCAACATTTACTAAACATGAATAAAGTTGCTTTCGTTAAGATTTAATGGACCTGAGCTGACATGAACTACAGTGAACAGTTATAAACTAACATTAGCAAAGATGAATCAATCCTTTAACAATGAGCAATGCATTGCTTAGTGAATTAACTAATGTTAACTCATGGGACCTTATTGTAAAGTGCTACCATTTGTATAAGAATGGAGAATTTGTGTGATGTAGGACACAGTACAAAACAGAGAAATTCTGGGAAACTCGGATGCAATAAAACTCTGATTTAAAGACAAAAGCATTTTCTCTTAAAAACTCAGATAAACTAGACAATCTCTATACGTCTTGTTCTTGACAGGAGCTGGAGCGTCTGGAGGTGGAGCGTGTGGAGATGATCAGACAGCATCTGTGTCAGTACACAACGCTACGACACGAGACCGACATGTTCAACCAAAGCGTGAGTTAAACAGCCTCATCCACACTCACTCATACAGCACAGTCTGATGCAGATCATGAGTAATGATAACCTGCTGTTTCACCTCCAGACCATAGAGCCGGTGGACAAACTCCTGCGGAGCGTGGACCCCGCCAGAGACCGAGAGCTGTGGGTCAAAGAACACAAGACGGGCGAGCTGAGACCGGTGGACATGGACATCTGAGAGCATCAGACTCGCCCTTGTTTCCTCGTCTGAAACGCAGCACTGGCTGAAGAGAAACTAATATGGGTTTGATCTCTCAAAAACCCTTCTGAGGCCTAAACCAGGAGAATGATCATGACTCAAACCGAGCAGAAGGTTGAGAGAGAACCGAGGTTACATACCATAACCTTCCCACGAATCTGACTGAAAGAGCTCTCGAGGTGTGGCAGAGACTGTGTGAACATCTGCAGGATTTCACTCGGGAGAACTGACGTGTTTGTCAGTATCTACTGATGCAATCATGCCATTAGGATTCAGCATTGATTGAACCGAGTTCATGTATGTGAAATAGTACTAATATATACTGTAAATGCTGCTGCTGCATCAACTATTACAACTGATTTCAGTTCTGTGACTAATCAAAGCTCTCGCTTGCCTTAAAGCGACAGTACACACAAAAATGATCATTCTTGTCATCATTTACTTCACTTTCATGTGGTTCCAAACTGGTTTCAGTTTCTTCTTTCTTCTGTTGAGCAGAAAAGAAGATCTTTTGAAGGATGTTGGTAACCAAACAGTTGACGGTAGCCATTGACTTCCATAGTATGGAGAAAAAAAAATGAAACTAAACAGTTGACGGTAGCCATTGACTTCCATAGTATGGAGGGGAAAAAAAAGAAACTAAACAGTTGATAATTATTTGGTTACCAACATTTTTCAAAATATTTTATTTTGTGTTCAGCAGAAGAAAGAAATTCATACAGGCCTGGAACAACAGAATTTAATTTTGGTGGAACTATCCCTTTAATAGTATAGCATCTTCTATGTAGTGTCACACAAAAGTAACTTTCAAACCAAGCTGCTTTCTCTTGATCAGGAATTTGCTTGACAAACTTGAACACAAGTGAAATCTGTGTGGGGAACTTTTTTCCCCTCACACAAAACTTTTGATCATACAGTTTTCTATTGAAATGCCACAAACTTCTGCAGAACAGCGGTAAATGTGGCCACAACTTTAGAAGGTGTAAGTAGTATACAGCAGGAATTTGTGCACGGCGTTCAACAACAGAAACAAACGAAGAACAACATTAACAACAGGAGGATGGAGGACGCTGTGATCGGAGCTGTGTTTTTGTTGTGTCTCGTGGGTTTCACAATAATGGACATGGAAAGTCGACGTATACTTAAAGCGATTGAAAGAACGGAAAAAAGGACTAAGAATCAACAACGACAACTGGCAGTGCTACATTTGCTACAAGTGCCTGCACTTCAGCATCCGTCCATCTATCGCTGTTCTCCATACTTGCGAAATAAGTTGACAATGTTTACAGTATGTTTACACAACGTTTTTTAAATCATGGCGGGAGGGCGTTTTCATACGCGTTTGGCCAATCAATGTCTACTTACCTCACGATTAGTACCAGTTGTGCTGGTTAGACCCTGCTCCGGAGTAGGAGCTAATTTGGTTCTCGAAAAAGGCAGTCCGGTACTAAAATCGCACCCAGTTCCAGCGGTGCGAAAACGCCAAGAGGGAAAAAAAAGAAACTAAACCGTTGACGGTAGCCATTGACTTCTAAGTATGGGGGAAAAAATATGGAACTAAACAGTCGATGGTAGCCATTGACTTCCATAGTATGGAGAAAAAAAATGAAACTAAACAGCTGATGGGAGCCATTGACTTCCATAGTATGGAGAAGAAAAAAAAAGAAACTAAACAGTTGACGGTAGCCATTGACTTCTAAGTATGGGGGGAAAAAAAAGAAACTAACAGTTGACGGTAGCCATTGACTTCCATAGTATGGAGAAAAAAAATGAAACTAAACAGTTGACGGTAGCCATTGACTTCCATAAAAGGGAGAAAAAAATTAAACTAAACCTCATGGCGGGTGAGGGCGTTTTCGTACGCGTTTGGCCAATCATTGTCTACTTACGTCACGGGTAGTACCAGTTGTGCTGGTTAGACCCTGCTCCGGAGTAGGAGCTAATTTGGTTCTCGAAAAAGGCAGTCCGGTACTAAAATCGCACCCAGTTCCGGCGGTGCGAAAACGCCAAAAAATGGGTAGTTCCACAATTAGTTCTGGTACTATGAAAAGGTTCCCGCAGTGCGAAAGGCCCTATTGACTTCCATAGTATGGAGGGAAAAAAAATGAAACTAAACAGTTGACGGTAGCCATTGACTTCCATAAAAGGGAGAAAAAAATGAAACTAAACAGTTGATGGTAGCCATTGACTTCCATAAAAGGGAGAAAAAAATTAAACTAAACCGTTGATGGTAGCCATTGACTTCCATAGTATGGGAAAAAATATGGAACTACACAATTGACGGTAGCCATTGACTTCCATAAACGGGAGAAAAAAATGAAACTAAACAGTTGACGGTAGCCATTGACTTCCATAAAAGGGAGAAAAAAATGAAACTAAACAGTTGATGGTAGCCATTGACTTCCATAGTATGGGAAAAAAATATGAAACTAAACAGTTGTTTAGTTCCACTACCGTCAACTGTTTGGTTACCAACATTCTTCAACCATTGACTTCCATAGTATGGAAAAAAAAAATGAAACTAAACAGTTGTTTAGTTCCATATTTAGTTCCATGCTGGCAACTGTTTTTATGTACAACAGAAGAAACTCTTCTTCTTTGGAACAGCTTGAGGGTTATAAACAATGACAGAATTTTCAGTTTTGGGTGAACTGTCTCTTTAAAGTCGACATGAACCCATTTAACTACGTAATGTTATTTATTTCTGAGTAAAATTAGGATATTCAATGAGAAAAAGAAATGCAAATGTCAGGAGTTATAAAAAGAAATGGGAGTTACTTACCAAAATGAACACCGAAAGGGAATCTGATTCAGGTGGAGAAGCCCATTACATTTTGAAAATATTACACTTTTGTCCTTTGGAATACCATGTATGAATCATGTAAGACCAGAAACATGGATCAGCAAGTAAAGAGGGTCCGTGTTGATTTCAGCTTACGCAGGAAATTATACAACTCAATGCAAAATCATAAACATAACAGATCTGGTATTATATTGTACATGAATACAGCTGCTCAGTCTCACACTGCCGTCATGGACTCGGGGTTTACATCACTTCATACTCAATTAAGAAATGAACACAAACATGTGTAAAGATGTTTTATTTACTGTCTTTTGTTCAAATATACAGAAGTCTCAAACAGTCATTATTTGGGCCCAATATTGTTTCCCCCAACCATTTACTCTATAGTGAGAGAGCTGCAAATAATATATGTAAATGATTCTGCACAATGCTTATTTTTATATGAAATCAATTAACACTGTTCCTAAATGATCATCAAGATGTTTAAACTGGATTTCATAGTTTTTTTTTCTGACAGTACCAGCTTATGCATTTAACGCATCTGTATTACTGATGTACATGTTCAAATAATTCATTCTCTCCCTGTTATACAACGATGTAAATGAAGAATAACTGCTGCATATAATCCATTTATTATGTTTTCTGTAATATAAATGACATAAAATAATGTTTAACTAAATAGGATTTATTCGTTTGCACTATTTATGTAGCTGTCATCAATAAATACAAAATTAATGCAAACATGACACTACGGAGCAAGGGAATAATATATACTGAATGAATGTCCATTCAATGCAATTCTAATTTGACTATATATAACTAAAGCTGTCCTAAGGAATGTGTCGGAAATGTGTGCACCCTTAGGTCATCCAAGATGTAGATGAGTTTGTTTCTTCATCAGATTTGGAGAAATGTAGCATTGCATCACTCGCTCACCAATGGATGCTCTGCAGTGAATGGGTGCCGTCAGAACGAGAGTCCAAACAGCTGATTAAAACATCACAATAATCCAGACAACTCCAGTCCATCAGTTAAAAAAGTGGTCTGAATCAGGAGAGAAATCTCAAAAACAGCCCTAAACAAATATGTGGGTGGATTTTGATGTGAGAGACAACAGGAGATGGATTTTTTTCACTGCAGGAAGCGCTATTATGGATTATGGGCTTGTATTTTATTTAAAAACGTCTTGATGGATTTGTTTCTTACAAACACACAGCTTTTGTGATGTTTTTATCAGCTGTTTGGACTCTCATTCTGACGGCACCCATTCACTGCAGAGGATTCATTGCTGAGCAAGTGATGGAATGCTACATTTCTCCAAATCTGATGCATGGCCTGAGGGTGAATACATTCATTTGTGGGGTGAACTATCCCTTGGACTACATTACAAAATAAACGAAACACTCTAAATCTAAATTACAGTTTTCGTTTCTTGATAGTAAAGTCATGCTGATGATACCAAATATAATACTGAAGATAGATACTTGTTGTAATCAAAAGATTTATATGTTTACAGTTATTTTTTAAGACAAAAATGAGGAATGCAGAAGACTGAAAAATCTCTGATTCTAATCGATCATGAGTTTCTTGATTGAATTCAAGTACGTGGGAATGAGAGAGCTGATGGACTCGTCGTCATCAGTGACCTTCTCACCTCTGCCCTCTGACCCCACAGAGCTGGGCGACCTCACCAGGCCGGGATAGGGAGTGCTGTAACCCTGTGTCAAACACACACACACACACACACACACACACACACACGAGCAGAGTGTTACTGACTCCTGCTGGAGACGGATGGCAGAACATCTGTCCTGACAGACACTCACTGATGAGTAGCCTTTGCCGAAGCTGCCTCTGTTCTTGGTCCTGATCTTGGTTAGCGCAGACTCGGCGATGTCGGCCCGCTCTTCTGCGTCGTCCAGCTCATGAACTGTCTTCCTGTACTTGGCCAGATTCACATTCGCCTGCTCCTCCTGTGCATCAACAACAGCAGATCAGAGAAAGACATGCTGTTTCACGAGTTCACACTTACATGTAATAAACAAGAGTAGAGGTTATGCGTATTTGGCGTGCTGTCCGAAGGGAGGGCTGTAAGTCAAGGAACAGAGGTACAGTAAGTCTGCTGTGTATATATACACACCTCTTATCTTGTCAGTTGGGTTGATTACTGATTGTGCACCTCTCGTGTTAATTAGGTTAATTATCTGAACGTGCTCCTCCCGAACTTTGTTAATGAAACATCATATGTTTGACAGCTTGACGAAGTTTCACACTTCAAAATAAAGCATTCATTAATGCATTCATTTTCTACAGTTTGTATTTATTCATTCGTTTTCATTGTCATATCAGCATCAAAGGCCATATTCATTACAATAATAAAACGCATAAAATAATACAATATACAATTGAATTTCTTATACTACATTTTAATTATTCATTATGTGTTGCACTATTATATCATTTTTAAAAATGCTATTGCTCATTGTTAATTCATGTTTTTTCGTAATACATTAATTATTGTTAAATTACGTTACTTAAGACATCCACATAAGAAACAAAATCACGCTTTGGCAAATCATAATGATTATGATTATATGACATAAAAAGTCGAAATTATGAGTTAAAAGTCATAATTATGACAAAGATTTTTGTCACAAAGGTTTTTATCATATAAAATGACTCACCTTTGAATTTATTTCATAATTATGACTTAATATCCATTTCGATTTTTCATCTCATAAATATGACTGCCATAATTTCGATATATATTTATATATGACTTTGTATGTCATTGAGTTATTTCATAACATATATCATATATCACAATTAATACTTTTTATCTCTATTATAATTGTGACTTTTTTACCGGTATGTCATAATTATGACTTAATATGTCACAATTGTCATGTCTTTTTCATCAGTATGACTTTTTATCTCATAAATATTATATTGAGTTTTTATATCATAATTATACACTTGGTCACAATTAAGAATTTGATCTCATAATTATAAATGTTGATTCTGACTCATGTCAATTATGAGTTTTCATATAAATGTCATAATTATGACTTTTTATCTCATAAATGACTTAGTATGCCATTATTTTGAATTTTTTTAAAACTGTAACTTCTGTCATGAGACTATCTCATAAATATAACTGTCAATTTCTAATTTTTATGTCCTAATTATGACTGCCATAATTGACTTTTAATTATAAATGTATGTCATAATTATAACTTAGTATGTCATTATTTTGACTTTTTTTTTTCATAACTACCTCTTTTAAGTCAGAATTAAGACGTATCTCATAATTATAACTTTTTGACTTATGTCAATTATGATTTTTCCACATTCATTTTTTTGTCATATTTCTGGATTTTTTTTTTCTCATAATAATGAGTATAATTATGATTGACCAAAGCAGACATTGTATTCTTATGTGGCAGAAATGGGCTTCCATAGAAAGGTGTATTAGTGGGCCTAAATGTAGAAATTAGCCAAAAAAATTTTACAGGGTCCAAACCTCTGTGAAAATAAAAAGGTCAAATCTATGAGAGTTACAATCCTTATAAAAATCCTAAAATGTCATGCTGGTTTATGCTGGTTTGCAGCTGGTCCTTCTGGCTTTGCTTGACTTTAGTGCAGGAACCAGCTTGACCAGAAACCTCATGCTGGTTTGACTGGCAGTGAAGCGAATGCGTTTCAACCAGCACTAACCAGCACAACCCACGGGGTTAAGAGCAGCAGTGTCCTACCGCTTCCTCCACTTGTCTCTTGTAGGCTTTCATCTTCATCTGGAGTCTCTCCACCAGCTCCTGCATGCGGTGCTGGTTCTTCTGGTCCTCCTCGGACTGGAAGAGCAGCTCCTTCAGACGCCGCTCGTTCTTACGCAGGCTCTTCACCGTCTCAGCGTGTCTCTTCTGCTCGCTGTCCAGCTCCAGCTCCAGCTCCTTCACCTGAGCGTTTCCAGAGTACAGAGACCAGAGACTCAGGGTCAGGGCTGGATAAACGAGATCAAATAGTGATGATAAGCTCTGGACATTTTTTACTGGCTCTTCACCACAAACCGACAAAATAAAAGATGACAGAAATATATTATTAGTGTATACTAAAATGCACTTCTCAAAGTAATAATATTATTTTAAGCAATATCATTCATATCGTCCATGTTTAAATGTGTACACTTCTGATGTGCAGCACCTTATTTGACAAGAATTTAATAAATGCAATGATTTGTTGTAAATTAATTATTATGTTTCATTTGATTACATTTTACATATGAATTCATTTCATTACACACTATTTTTGCATTAAACTTGTATTAAATCATAATGCATTTTTATACATTTGATACATCTATATATATATAAATATAAATTGTTAACAAATTTAATACAGCTTAATCCAGTTTGAAATGTGGAAATGCATGGAAGCTCATTTAGCCACATAAAAAAAAAAATTATGCTTTGGCAAATCATAATTATATGACATAAAAAGTTGAAATTATGACACAGTAAGTCATAAGATACAAAGTTGAAATTAAGAGTTAAGTCATAATTCAAAAATGTCTTTTATGTCATAATTATGACTTAGTATATCAATTATTACTTCATAAGTTATTAACGTAATGACAAGTTTGACTTTGAATCTCATAATTATGAAAAACTTTGACTTAAATTTATGACTTTTCAACATATAAATGACACTGTCACAGTATGTCATCATTTTGACTTTTTATTTCATAACTATAACTTCTGTCACGATGTAAATGTTTGATCTCATAACTTAGTATGTCTATTTTGACTTAGTACAGTGTGTAAAAAATAACTTTTCTTCATATAAATGTCTTGGTCATCATTATGACATTATAACATGTTCGTCTCATAAATGACTTAGGGTGTCATTATTTTGACTTTATTTCATAACCACAACATTTATGTCATAATTTAGACTTTTAGAATTTTAACTTTGTATGTCAATTTCAACGTTTTGTCAATTACGATTTTTCATAGGAATGTCTTTGTCACAATTATGACATTTTAGCTCATAAATATGACATAGCATGTCATTATTTTGACTTTTTTATTTCATATCTTTAACTTAATCATAATTAATTAGTCATAATTAATCTTATAAGTATAACTTAGTTTGCCAATTTCAAATCATAAAACACAGAATCCAAATAAATAAATAAAATGAAAAACATAAAACTAGTTTCATGGGGCCCTAAATGAAAGGTACCTTACTGTAATTCTCAAGCTCTAACAAACATGTGGAAAGCATTTCCTTCCCCAATAATGCTAAATATCAATATCAATATCGTATGATATCATAAGTGCTAATATTTATGGCCCAGCCCTGCTCATCCGGTTAATGATGTTTACCCGCCCCTCCAGCTTCTGAATGATCTTCTTCCCTCCCTTCATGGCCATCTGCTCAGCTTCCTCCAGTCTGCCGCTCATGTCCTTCATCTGGAGCTCCAGGCTCTTCTTGACGCGCTCCAGATGCATTATGTGCTCCTGCTCCACACGCAGCTCCTCCAGCACACGCGCCGTCTGCAGACCGCCAGCACAGCGTCACACTCAACACCATCAGGCCTTTCTCTCAGCGCTGTGTGTGTGTGTGTGTGTGTCTGTACCTCACATGCAGATTTCTTGGCCTTGTCGTTGGCTGATCTGAGTTCAGTCTGCAGCTCCTCGTGCTCCTGCATCAGCTGCTGAACATCCACTTCCAGCTTCCGCTTCCCGCTGGACACACTCTGGAACTGAGAGCACAGAACAGCTCTGTTCACTTCAAACAGCAGATAGTTGCACACTAGCAGCATGACAAAATAAAAGGGCATCATTTGCATATTTAAATGATCTGTTTCTTGTACTACTATAATTCTTTAAAAAAAGTTAATATTTTGAATTAGATTTTTTTTTACTGTTATATTTTCTTTCTTTTTTTTTTCATGTTTATTTCAGTTGCACTTTTAGTTATTTTAGTTAAGTTAAACTAAATGAAAATGAGAAATGTTGGACATCATTTGAATATAAAAAAATTATAAATGACCTGTGTTTCTACTGCTATAATTCAAAAAAAAAAAAAATGGACTGAGGCACAGCAGAAGTAGAGTTCTGTAAAAAAAAAAAAAAAAAAAAAAAAAAAAAAAATTGGACTGTATCAGATTTTCACTAAATTCATGATAACAATAGTATTATATTTATATAAATGTGTACATTTTATTTATATGCATTTTATTTCATTTAGTATTATTTGTTTTATTATTTATTTATGTATTGATTGATTTTTTTGCCAATGAGTCACACTCAAAATACAACAGCAGGAAGTAAAGTACTCAAAAGTGCCAGCAATGATCAATCATCAAAACAATGATTGCATGAATTGAAAATATATATTTAAATACTGTTACAGGAAAGAGCTTGCACACTGTAAAGGTGTATGCTTTAATATTACGTTTATGTTGAATATACATCTGATTCATCTCAGATCAATGTGTTTGGTTGAATTATTCCAAAACGCTTCAGTTTCTCTATGTTCATTTTAATTTTAGTTAGTCATTTTGTTGTGTTTTTGTCATTTTTAGTCATTTTTGAAGATGACTGTATAGTTTTATTCACTTTTATTTCAGTATAAATTAAAGGCAGAGTAAGTGATTTCTGGTAGCCAATGTTGATATAAATGAAAATGTGAAATGGTGCCTTGGCAAACTACCTGAAATAAAATAAGTTTTTATTATTTTAGGTAATGTTTATTTTATTTCAAGTGACTTTTTTTTTTTTAGTTTAAGTGAACTTTGGCCTTGTTCATTTCTGACAGAGTTTGTGAATGTACTGCAAGGGATCCATGGAGAAGAAATAAAGATTCTGAGACAAAGCATCAACTAATGACCTGATAAGCATTATGTAAAATAATTGACAAGCTTTTAATGAAGGTTCTGATGAGTGTAGTGTGTTGTAGAGTGCTGTGGATCAGCACCTGGCTGTCGAGTGTGTTGTATTTCTCTGCTGTCTCGTGCAGCTCCGTCTCCAGGCTCTTGCGCACCCTCTCGGTCGCCTCCAGCGCAGCACGGCTCTCCTCGCCCTCGGTGACCAGCAGAGTGCAGCGGCGCTCCAGCAGCATCTGCTCCTCCCTCAGCTCCTCCTGCATGCGCGCCTCCTCCTCCAGCTGAGCCTGGAGCTCCTGCAGGAGACACACAGAGCATGTACCACACATACAGCAGCATGTTCTCCTGCGTGAACGCGAGCCGCACCTTGATCTGCTGCTGCAGCTTCTTCACGCTCTTCATCAGCTCTGCGTTGTTCTTGTTCAGCTGGTCCACCTGCACCTCCAGCTCATTCACATCACTCTCCATCTTCTTCTTGAGCCGGGCCGCCTCCGTGCGCGCCTTCACCTCCACATCCAGACTGGCCTGCAGAGACTCCAGCGCTCTCTGGTGGCTCTTCCTGAAACCAACAAAACATCTCATACTTGAACTGTTTGGACGGTTTGGAAATGTTTCTCTTTACGAGAATAACTGATTACATCATATTTTAAACCAGTCTAAGCTGGCTTGGTGGTCTTGGTCTTCCAGTCTGGACTTCAGGTTTTTAGAACTTTGAGAAATGTAACATTGAAACAAACATTTTTTGTGAAGCTGCTTTTGAATTGAACTGAACTAAACTGAACTGAGCTGAATTGAGAACTAACCAACCAGCTAAACAAGCTGGGTACCAAATTGGTCAGGCTGGGAGACCAACCTAAACCAGCTAAGACCAGCAAAATATTTCAGGCTGGTTTAAGATGCAAAAATAGAATTCTGTAGGAGACCTTGAATTCTGTCAAATCAAAAATAGAAAACACACGGTAGGTTTCAAGTTGCTGCTCCACATGTTAGAAATGATCATTTTTATTAAAAAATAAAAACACTGGCTGTCATGATATCAGATTCCCACTATATGAATATCATGGCCAAAAGAATTCACATTAACAATATTATATTATATATATTTATATATAATGTAATATACCTATAAAAAAAAATTTGGGAAAAAATAAACAAATAAATTACTCAAAATGGTTTAGTCTGTGTTGCTGTTTATAATATGAAATACTGAAAAACAAAATTAAGTCATTCAAAGTTAAATTCATATTTAACCTTTATTTTGTTTTCTCCTTTTCCCCCAATGAATCACACTCAGAATACTGTGCAAGTAAAGATATAGAAGCTGACAGATTTTGAAGAAATTCACAATATTACAGCAACCAGAAGAAGCCAGATAAAGTTACTTACCACAGCAGTTATCCCATGTTAGATAGAAGCAGGAAATAAAAGGCAAGGTGGAAAAACAGAAGAGTTAAAAGACTGAAATGCAAATAGGACAACACTGATTCAAAGCAGAAGATGTTTTATCAGAGGAATTTCTCCAAAGAGGCCATATCAGGCAATTTTCCCAACTATCACAATCCACCGAACCGTTTAACACACACTCATCTCAGCGATATATCATGTTGTCAGAACTAGGAGGCGCTGATCAAACCTGGTGGCCTCAAACTCCTCTTCTTTCTCCTGCAGTCTGCGCTCCATGTCTGCTTTAGCCTGAGACACTTCCAGCTGAAGACGCAGAACCTTCGTCTCCTCGGCCTACAGAAACACACATACAACACATCGGATTCCTCTCTGAACCACTAGATGGCACAAAACTCACAACAGCACTTTCAGAAACACACGCTTTGCACTTTTCACCGAGGAAATTTGCAGGCAGCAATGCAAAGCTGATTCTGTGCTAATTTGATCTAATATTTAATGTTTTTAAAATATTATAGATTTGTGTGAAAATGAGAATTTTTGAAATTAACTTATTTTTAAACAAAGTTTTTTTTTTTTTCAGTTTTTTTTCAGGCTAATCCAAATAAAAGCATAAATGCAATAACATCCAGTATGCAAATTGATTTAAGTCTACAATGTAGTCAGCAAAAACTATGATCGTTTCACTGTTGCCAATTACATTTCATATGCTGCACATTTTAATCAAGTCAAAAAGACATTGCAGAATTGTTTCTCAGTAATATTGCTACAATAATTCCTCTTAGCCACTGCCTATACTTTAAGAGGTTAAAAATGACAAAAAAAGTAAATATAATGAATAAATTCCTCCACACATTCAAATCTACAGCTTCAAGTGGATAATGAACATATCAAGAGTTAAGGAAAGAGTTCCTCTGGAAAAACACAAATGCCTGTAAGTGAGACTGGAAAGCAGCGCTCCTCCATCTGCATGAACATCATCCATCAGCGCTGTCAGCTAGACGGCCGTCAGACCACACAAGCGGAGGTCACGGGGTCAGCGGCCACGTCATGACATCATTTGAAAAAAATACAGCCTTACAGCAGCTCCATTTATCATCAACTGGCATCTCAAACCTGAGCCAGAAGGTGAACACTTCTCGAGTAAAAACACGACAAGCCTCGACATTTTTACTCAGGAGACTCATTGGTACGCATCCTGGTGATTCAATAATTCATCGTGCTGTTTTATTTGGCTTCTGCTCTTTACTCTTAGATCATTTGCTCTTTAGTTCATACTAGTGTTTCTGAACACCTAGTCAGTTGAAATCAGTCTTTCTGATTAAAATGAAGCATGTGCATCATATGACCCCTTTAAAAATAAATGAATTTGTACTTTACAAATGCTATTTTGATCATAAACTGAAAGACGTCTCTTCTGTTCACCAAGGCTGAATTTATGTGATCAAAAAAAAAAGATTAAAAATGGTCAAATATTATTACAATTTAAAATAGCTGTTTTCTATGTGAATATATTGTAAAATGTAAATTTTTTCTGTGATCAAAGCTGAATTTTCAGCATCATTACTTCACCAAGGCTGAATTTATGTGATCAAAAAAAAGATTAAAAATGGTAAAATATTATTACAATTTAAAATAGCTGTTTTCTATGTGAATATATTGTAAAATGTAAATTTTTTCTGTGATCAAAGCTGAATTTTCAGCATCATTACTCCAGTCTTCAGTGGCACATGATTCTTCAGAAATCATTCTAATATGCCGATTTGCTGCTCAAGAAACATTTCTGATTATTATCAATGTTGAAAACAGTTTGAAAATCAGGAAACTGGAATTCAATTTATTTTTCAGGATTCTTTGATAAACAGAAAGTTCAAAAGAACAGCATTTATTTGAAATAGTATATCTTTTGTAACGTTATAAATGTCTTTCCAGTCACTTCTGATCCATTTAATTCATCCTTGATGTGTAAAAGTATGAATTTCTTCAATACATAAAATCTTACTGACTCCAGTAGGATATGTACTAGTATTACAGTGATAACAGTTTTGGTGAGATTTACCTCTGTTTATAGCGTAATCATCAAGAAAAATCGGAGTATTTCTCCAGACCTCTAATGCCGCCTCTGACTCCTCCAGCGATGCCTGCAGCTCTTCTTTCTCCATCTCGATTTTCTTCTTCATTTTCTGAAGCTCATGGACGCTCTTCCCTCCATCTGACAGCTGGTCGGTAAGATCCGCGATCTCCTCTGAAACACAACACAGATCGATCAAACACGACACAATGATACAGTATTTTAGGAGAGCATCATTCTCTCCGTCCATTATTGAGTCCGCTTGTTTCTGTTGGACTGCCTTCCTCAGCTAATTACGGTCTGAAAACCGCAGCCATTCAAACCAAGCCTATGATGACAGATGGAGACTGACGGTCCCACATCACGCTGGCTCAGTTCGACTGTAATCTGTGTTTATATGAGTTCTGTCATGTTTTTACAGGCCATCACACATGCATCTTCACAAAAGGTTTGAAATAAACAGATATCCAAAATGATGTGACGGTGACAGACGTGTCAGCGTTACCCTGTAAGGCCTTGTTTTCCCTGCGGAGAGCCTCGCTCTGCTCCACGGACTCCTCATAGGTGGTTTTGAGCTTGAAGAGCTCTGCGGCGTGTTGTCTGCTCTCCTTCTGACAGCTCTCCACCTCCGACAGCAGCTCCTCACACTTCTGCCTCCAGTCACTCAGCTGCTTGTCCAGCATCCGCTGCTTCTTATCCAGCACTGCAGCCACATTGTTCGCCTGCAGGAGGAACAGTCATTACCCAGCAGTCCGCTGCCTGGCTGTGCAGAATTGCTTGTCAAAACCTCCTGCAGTGTTTCCCATACATTGATTTATTTGTGGCGGCCCGTCACAATATCAAAACTGACCGCCACAAATAGATTTTCCAAAAGGTTTTGACTTCGTTGAATAAACATGAGCACTGCACATCTCAAAATTGAAACCCGGTGCCGGTGTCTTTATATCACTGTATTTCTGAAGGAAACCGACGGTCTTCAGAAAATGTTGGATGTCATTTTCATTTCATCTTGCATGTAATGTCTGATAAAGCAGCGTTTGTGAGCGGAGCGCTGCTTTGTGTACAGCCGTTACCAGGGAAACCTCTATTTCTCCCGCTCTAAGCGCCTCCTGCTGGCAGAGAATGAATTTGCATATATGCCGCCACAAATATTGTGTAAGTCTGTTGGAAACACTGCTCCTGATATTCATAAGACCAGTTAACAGCTGGTGTTTCATGAAAGACCAGCTTATATTGTGTTCGAGTAGGATGCCCACCCGGTTCTGGCTGGTGGTAGCTGCTCTGAAAATATGTTTCTCAATTGTAATTCATTCTCATTTTGATGAATCAACATCGATTCTTAAATCCCAAGAATCAAGAATGCGGTTTTCAGTTGATGCATGAACAAAACTTAAAAAAACACTACAAAACATTATTTGTAGTGCCTCCCATCAGTGGCGGCTCGTCGGGGGAGGCAGGGGAGGCACAGCTTCCCCATAATTTTGAGGTGAAAATGGGAGGAGGACGATTTAATGTAAATAAAATTCACAATTCATTTCAGTTCATGTCTCAGGATG